CACAACTGTAGGAAAAAAGAACAGTCAACCATTCTACGAGTAACTCTCAGAACTCAATATGTTCTGAGTCACTGTTTGCATCGCTTCAAACTATACTCGTTTCTCAACACTTACAAGAGGTAATCACCAACTAGTGGTCAAAAGTCCCTTTTGAAAACTACTGCACATTTTAACGTGGCATCAAGAGTTACCGATTGGCCTTTAGAAGACAAACTTCGCTCTTTAAGACGTGTTCCCAACGTTGAACTCCAAGTGAAAAACCTCTTAGCTTACGAATACTACTTCTGCTGCTACTTCCTACGCCTCCATCGACAACATTTAATGCCTCTATCCTGTCAATACCGCTTGTGGGGGACTAAAAAACTTAAAATCATCACAATTACATTACAGGGAAGCTCAGTCGCAAGATATGTGTAACTGTAGTGTTTCGGGCTCCAGTTAAATTGACATAAACAACTTCCTGGAAAAGTTAAGCGGCTGTTCCACTAAAGAAAAAATTAACGGCCAAATTTTATTCCAGCAGACAGACAACCTACTGTCTCAACATCAATGCTCAGTCGTCGTTGGTGTTCAGGTACTGTAAAAACCATATCGTCATCATCGTCTTGCATTTCTAGTCCCTTAGAACACACATTAATACCCGCTGGTCACAATGCTGTAAAATTTTATCAACTAGCATAAGCAGTATTTGAATAATTTTGTTGGACAACATCTACTTCAACTACAGCTCATACGGCAAATACCTATTCAGGCAACAATCCAACTAAACTTGAAAATCAAAAAGGAAATAAGAAAAAACAAAATAACATACGAAAAACTGAATTAACAAAGAATCCCCCACGCAACCGTAAATTCAGTACCAAACATTCGACACGAAAGTATGAAACTACTCTTAAATACTCTGTACATCAGCTGCACTGAAAGTGAATAAAATTGTGACTGAAGAAATTCTGGAACATAAGAAAAGTCCCATAAAGCCAGTACTATTAAGATCAACTAATGCCATCCATACAAAAAACTGACAATATATA